ATGTATCCGAAATCCCATTTCTTCTTAGAACTTCGTGGCTCTCTCTATGGTTTTCTTGAAAAATATGATGAAGGTTTGGCAGATTTTAATACTGCACTTCAACTGGTTCCCGACAATATAGAGTTATTGTATGATCGAGCTGCTATGTTAAGGCTCACCAAGCATGTTGATCTAAATGTAGCAGTAGTCACACACGAAATATTTCTCAAAAACGCACCAGTTGATCATCGCAAGTTACCTGAAGCATACTATGCAGCTGCGTCGTGTTATTTTATGAACACTGCTTTAAAGAACCATTTTGAACTTGCAGAAAAATATTACAAAAAAGGCATTGAAGCCGAAAAACAGCAATTACCCTGCTTTTTACCCTATGAATCGAAGAATAAATTATTTTTATCAAAGTTCTTCCAACTCAAATCGGCGATATCTGATGCAGGACCAGGTGAATCATCAATCGACACACGAAAACCCAAATCACGTCTATCTGATCCACGACGCCTTGATATGATTCAGTTGCATCGAAAATCTATTGCTGAAAAACGTGAACTTTCTCCAGATTACAAACTGATGACCCTAACAACTAAACCTCGTCTGCATCAAAACTCACCTGCATCATTGATTGGTTTGAAAGGAATTACACTACGTGAAATGAACCCAGCGAAAGATTATGTCTATCAAGGATATGTGTTATCAGGTATAATTTTCGAGCAATCACCAGTCGTTGAACCATCCATATGGCTGCTATTCGAAGATGATAATGGTGATTTGGAACGACTCTTTATATATAATATCCCGGCGTCTGAAGGTTGGCAATTAATAAAAGATACGTATATTTACGGTACAAAAATAAGTATTTTAAATCCGTACATGCGCATGGCGGCTGATAACAAGCCGGCTATTCGTGTAGACGATGCTTCGTCGATTATTTTACATGGAAATGCTCACAGTGTGAAGGATATGTGTCGATATTGTAGCGAAGCAAATGCATCACGTGTTTGTGGCAAATGCAGATCAGCTCACTATTGTTCAAAAGAATGTCAAACAATCGATTGGAAACAATGTGACCATAAATTAATTTGTACCTGAATTATTTTGAATTTCTCTTCGTGAAAAAATAAGTTTTGTTAGAATGGAATGACTACTCTTATTGAAATGTTAAAACTTACCCACATCCTATTTGAAACTAACGATACTAACCACCAAAACAAATTGAGGAGCATAAAAAAGAACAATAAATTAGGCGCTGTAATATCACATTTGAATCAAACATCTTAACCCTTTACCCCCCTTGGTCGCTGGAGTGACCATTTGTAAAACGACTGCGGAAAAGAAAGGGAGCATCGGGTTAAAAAACGCTAAGCACCTTTTTTGTAGTAAACTTCATGGGCTATCCATTGGTAGAAAGACTGTTCCTTTGGATTGCTCCGTCTTTGAAATAAAGGGTCTAAAAAATCGAAAATTTTGAAAAAATGAAAAAAATTGAAATTTTTTAAGTAAAATACTTTCTACTCGCAGCCAATAGAGATCTCATGGAATTTCTATGTGATATTAATTGACGAAGAAGTTCTTTGATAAATAAAATATATTTCAAAATTTTAGTGATAACTCAGCGAATATGACATACAAAGAAATATGATTGACCATGTAGCCACCAATTGACCTATGGGGCGAAATCAAGAGCACAGTTAATACATATATTAGATACCTCGACTCATAAGAAGTCGAAACTCTATTTATGATGAATTCAATTTGATGAGAGGTTATTAAATGGCCAAGAATAAAATTGGCTTTAATTTGAAAAACATCTAAAAAACGCATGTATTCTTTGGTGTTCATTTTTATGGGTTTATTTCTCGTCTTTTTTTCATTATTCTAATAGCGCGAGATAGATGTTCCTTCTGCCCACTCAATATTGTGGTCAAAGAATAAAAATCAACCCTTACGGTGTAGTTCAATTTTCTTTCCCTACCCCATGATTTCTGGATAAATCAAATCGTCCTACTCTTGGAGCAGAACATTCGATGGATCAGATTATGCCATTTGCATACTAGCGAGGGTAGTACTGTATTAATAAAGTTATTTTATCAGTGGCTCTTCTGGAACCTCCATGGGGGGTAAAGGGTTAAGTGAATCGAATTGAGGGACTTCAATTGAAATTATGCCGAGCATGGCATACATGGATGGGATCTGATAGGTGTGTAGTAGAAATGTCGAAAGGAAAAATGTCGAAAGAAAAAAAAATAGGGTAAAAATGTCGAAGGAAAAATGTCGAAAGGGAAAAACGTCGAAAGAGAAAAATGTCGAAGGGAAAAATATCGAAAGGGAAAATGTTGAAAGAAAAAATATCGAAGGGGAAAAATGTCGAAAAACGAATTCTAATATAAACAGATGTAAAAATGAAAAATAAAAGAAACAACGATGTCTCCCATAAATGATAATTCTAAATTCGAACAATACATATTTTCTTTTATTATAATTCCTATAGTCGAGATTTTTCACAAATAGTAGTAAAAATGACTAATACGTGATAGAGATTAAATAAACAACTATATACAACGTAAATAAATAACTATAGTGATAATAATATGCCAACAAATACGGTATTTTTAAATGACGGAACTCAAATACTTTTTAACAGTTTCTCATAACTTCATTCTTATATATTTAACATTTCATAGTTGCTTTAATGAACGAGTTCAAGTTAATCATCCAAACATTTGGTCACTCATAAAGTTTGTACAAGCAGAAGAAAATCGTTTTCATCACCTAAGTATTTTAATTTTATGCAGGTTTAAGAACACGACCTAAGCAAATAAAAACAATTGCAACTCAACGTCGTATCGATGTTCTTCGTAAATGATATTATGGTGGTATTATCAAAGCTATGGAATACATAGATAGCTTATCGTTGATCGTTGCAAAACGAAAAAAATTATTTTTTTAAATTTATTTCTTCATTCATAAATTCATTTCTATTAACATGTGTTAGTGTTAGCATAAAAAATAAAGAAAATCTCTTCTATTTCAAGATTTTCTAACAAGAATAATCAACCATTTTCTTAATGTATATCTTTTTCGATATTTTTCCCGTTCGACATTTTTCTTTTCGACATTTTTCTCTTTCGACATTTTTCCTTTCGACATTTCTACTGCCAACCATCTGATATGACGTCATTAATTGCTCCTTTCGTCTCTGTGCTGTAGCTTTCAACTCGCTTTTTTTGCTTGTCCATGTATACGTGTATAATTGCTATTGCGTTATCTTTTTTCTTCTCTATGCAAGAATGAGAGAAGACACCGGCTATTCACATATCTATGTGAGTATGTAGATTGTAAAATGAAGAACAACCTTTAACAACGAACTAATGAGAAACTTTATCAATCCATCTCAGTTTCTTTTTTTGATCATGTGTAAGTGAGATATGTTAGACACCGAGCAAGCCAAAAGTGGCGTAAGCGAAGAGAAAATTGAATATCTTCGCCATTATTGAGTCAAAGAAGTTCTTTCTTTTTATACCACTGATAGAGAATTGTTCGTGGTTCATATTCATAAGAAAAACGTCTATATATGCAGTGGTGGAGAAAATTTTTCGGATGATTTTATTTTAAGAATTACTTCGTCATGAATCCGTCTTGTGAAGTATGGTTTGTGTCAAAACTACAGCATATGTCTATATTATATCCACACAAAATTTCATTCATGAATGTTGAGTAATAGTGGAACTGGACCGATAACAATTCGAAGTAGTCAACTTTTGTTGGACAAAATTTGCTGGACGATCATTTAAATTGAGCTGTTATCATCCATAGATGTTCTAGAAAAACTGAATTCATATAAATGGAAAGAGCAAAGCAGAAGCTACATTTTGGTAATTGAAACTTTTTAAAAGTGAATTATTAATTAAGTTATATTGTTATTTTACAAGAAACAACAGATAATGGTAATGTGAACTCTTTCTCATTTTACTATAGTGAGTAGTTTTCTCTCCGAAATATCATCTCCGAAAGAGCGTTAAACGCTGCAATCTTTTGTAAAGTAATTTCGAGAAAAATCTTAAAGTATCCTTTGCGAAACTTTATTTTTATCTGGTACTTGTTGAATTGCTCAATACTGTTTTCGAATGTGATATTTTGAAGAGGAAACTCACTAGAGTAAAATGGCAAAGAGCTCACATCACCATCATCTGTTGTTTCTCGTAAAATAACAATATAACTTAATTAATAATTCACTTTTAAAAAGTTTCAATTACCAAAATGTAGTTCCTGCTTTGTTCTTTCCACTTATATGAATTCAGTTTTTTTTAGAACATTTATGGATGATAACAACTCAATTTAAATGATCGTCCGACAAATTTTGTCCAACAAAAGTTGACTACTTCGAATTGTTATCGGTCCAGTTTCACTATTACTCAACATTCACGAATGAAATTTTGTGTGGATATAATATAGACATACGCTGTAGTCTTGACACAAACCTTGCCTCAAAAGATGGATCCATGACGAAGTTATACTTAAAATAAAATCATCTGAAAAATTTTTTCCACCACTGTAAGTCTTTGTAAGTATTACTTTTGATTTCAACAGAAACTATTGATTTCCATGTATTCTGAAAAATATATCGACCACAAAAAAGCATCATTTACTCTTTTCACCATTGCCATCTGATCATATATTGAGACCACAGATAAATACCTAAATTTTTCAGTCCTGAACAACGAGAATTGGTTGAGAAGATTATAAATATCTCGATCAGCCTTGTCTGGTCGAAACCGAAATTTGTTGTGTGATGCTCATCCGGTTATCATTGTTTGTTCAATTTGAAATTTTAGGTGATGGTTGACCGCCAATGACATTCTCAGCTGCACAGCAGTCCAATACACGATCAACCACCACCTAAAATTTCAAATTGAACAAACAATGATAACCGGATGAGCATCATACAACACCTTTTTGGTTTCGGCCATACAAGACTAACTGAGCCATATTTATGATCTTCTCAACCAATTCTTGTTGTTCAACACTGAAAAATTGCAGACATTTATCTATGGTCTAAATATGAGATCAGATGACAATACTGAAGAGAGTAAATGGTGCTTTGTTGTGGTCAATATATTTTTCAGAATCCTGGAACGCTACGGGTTCTTGTTCAAGTCAAAAGTAGTACTTCAAAAGATCTATATGTCGCCGTTTATTTTATGAATATGAGTTATGAATACTTGTCTATCAGAGGTAAAAAAAGGGACTCCCTTGACTCAAGGATGGCCAAGATATTCACATTTTTCTTCGGCAAAGCCACTTTTGGCCCACCCTGTATATGGGTGAATTGCACAGCCATTTTACTGTTGGGTAGAAGAAAAGAAAAAATGAAGGTTGTTGAAGCATAAATTCGAGTTGGTAGTTTGATAGACCACCCTCGATAGCCAAGAAAACTTGAGATTCCACACAGTTGAACTTAAAAATAAGCAAGCTAATCAGCTTTCAATTAATGTGTCTTTCATTAGTACGAATCAAGTTCTTTCTTTGCCAGTTTCTGTGTTCAAAGCCGAGACTTTTATACGTCTTTGGCCGATTTCGGCAAGTCCCATAAAATGATATATCACTGATGTTTTGTTAGAGATCCATGAGATTTTGACATCATTTCTATCTAGAACAATGTTCGAGGAAAAGAAGACAGAGGTAAATAAGTGAACAGAGAGATTTATCAGCATAATCTACAAGGATGTTTCGATGTTTAGTTACATCATCGAATCGGCCTCAATGAATAGAGTCGAATGGTATATAATAAGTGTAATTCTGGTCAATGTTTGACGGTGATACTCAGGCTTTTAGGACGTGACATTTATGGTGTATTTCACATTTTTTCTCGAAGACAAAAACGGACGAAGCTGATTTTCTTACCACAGTTAGGCAATTGTACATAAGAGAAGAAAATGATGTAAGTTTCAGGCGAAACGAAAAAAGCCTCCTAGAGATAGTGAAAGACGAAATTCGAAAAGTCGCACGAAAAAGTGAGTGAAAGTTGAACATTTTGGATGCTACTGTCTACTAGTTTCCACCCTCAATAATTAAACAATATTTTCATCTTT